TCCCAGCAGTGGAATTGCTGGATCAGAAAGCAGTTCTATTTTTAGTTTTTTGAGTAAATTCCATACTGTTTTCCACAGTGGCTGCACCAGTTTGCATTCCCACCAGCAGTGTTCTAGGCTCCCTTTTCTCCACAACCCCGCTAGCACTTACTGTTTGTGGACATGTTAATGATGGACATTCTGACTGGTGTGAAGTGGTATCTCATTGTGGTTTTAATTTGCATCTCTCTGATGGCTGGTGAAGCTGAACACTCTTTCATGTGTCTATGGGCCCTCTGTATGTCCTCCTTGGAAAAGTGTCTGTTCTGGTCCTGTGCCCATTTTTTAATTGGATTGTTTATCCTCCTGGTGTAGTCATTTGGGTTCTTTATATATTTTGGAGATCAAACCCTATCTGAGGTATCATTGGCAAATATGTTTTTCCATATCTTTTATTCCCTTTTTATTTTGCTGATGTTTTCTATAGCCGTGCAGAAGCCTTTTAATTTAATGTCCCATTTGTGTATTCTTTCCTTTATATCCCTTTGCTTTAGGGGACGTATCAGTGAAAATATTGCTGCGTGGGATATTTGAAATTGTTATGCCTATTTTCCCCTCTGGTACTTTTATGGTGTTACAATTTATAATTAAGTCTTTATCCATGTTGAGTGTATTTTTGTGTATGGTGTAAGTTGGTCCTCTAGTTTTGATTTTTTTTTGTTTGCATATAGCTGTCCAGATCACCCAATACCATTTGTTGAAGAGGCTGTTTTTATTCCATTGTATGCTTCTGCCCCCTGTGTCAAATATTAATTGACCATGGTGACATGGGTCTATTTCTGGGCTCTCTGTTCTATTCCATTGAGCTATGTGTCTGTTATTGTGCCATTCCCAGACTGTTTTGATTACAGTGGCCTTGTAATATAGTTTGATGTCAGGTATTGTGATCCCTCCTACTTTGTTTTTCTTTCTCAAGACTGTTGAGGCTATTCAGAGTCATTTATGGTTCCATATAAATTTTTGAAATGTTTGTTCTGAGTTTGTGAAATATGTCATTGGTATTTTAATAGGGATTGCATTGAACCTATAGATTGCTTTGGGTAATATGAACATTTTAATGATGTTAATTCTTCCAGTCCATGATCACAGTATATGCTACCATTTATTTGTGTCTTCCTTAATTTCTTTCTTCAGTGTTCTATAGTTTTCTGACTACAGGTCTTTTACCTCCTTGGTTGAGTTTATGCCTAGGTATTTTATTTTTCTTGGTGCTATATTAAATGGGATTTTTTTCCTAATTTCTATTTCTTATATTTCACTTGTTAGCATACAGAAATGTCTTTAATTTCTCAATATTGACTTTGTATCCCATTGTTTTGCCAAATTCACTTACTTGGTCGAATAGATTTTGGTGGAGTCTATGAGGTTTTCTAAGTATATTGTCATGTCATCTGCATACAATCACCACTTTACTTCCTCCATTCCAATTTGGATGCCTCTTATTTCTTTTTCTTGTCTGATTGTTGTGACTAGAACTTCCAGTACTATGTTTGATAAAAGTGGTGAAAATGGACACCCTTGTCTTATTCCTGATCTGAGGGGAAAAGCTTTTAGTTTTTGCCTGTTGGGTATGATGTTGGCTGTAGGTTTCTCATATATGACCTTTATTATGTTGAGGTATGCTCCCTCTATTGCCTCTTTGCTGAGTGTTTTTATCATAAATGGGTGCTGACCCATATCAAATGCTTTTTCTGCATCTATTTATATGATCATGCGGTTTTTGTCTTTCCTTTTGTTTATGCAATGTATTACATTTATTGATTTGCATATATTGTACCATCCTTGCATCCCTGGGATGAATCCCACTTGATCATGGTGGATGATCTTTTTAATGTATGGCTGGATGCAGTTCGCCAATATTTTGTTGAGGATTTCAACATCTATGTTCATCAGTGATATTGGCCTGTAGTTTTCTTTCTTTGTTGTGACTTTATCTGGTTTTGGGATTAGGATGATGCTGGCCTCATAAAAAGAGTTTGGGAGACTTCCCTTTTCTTGAAGTTTTTGGAATTGTTTGAGAAAGATTGGGGTTAGTTCTTCCCTAAATGTTTGGTAAAATTTTCCTGTGAAGCCATCTGGTCCAGTGCTTTTGTGTCGGGAGTTTTTGATTAGTGCTTCAATTTCACAAATTATTATTGGTATATCCAGGTTTCTGCTTCTTTTTTATTTGGTTTTGGAAAATTATATGTTTCTAGAAATTTTTCCATTTCACCCAGGTTGTCAAATCTCTGGCATATAGTTATTCCTAGTAATTCCTTATAATCCTTTGTATTTCTGTGGTATCAGTTGTAATTTCTCCTCTTTTGTTTCTTATTTTATTTCTTTGGGTCTCCTCCCTCTTTTCTGAATATCTGAATATTAAAAATAAAATATATTTTTTAAGATTTTATATATTTTTAGAGAGAGGGGAAGGAAAGGAGAAAGAGATGGAGTTAAACATCAGTGTGTGGTTGCCTCTTGCACACCCCCTACTGAGGACCTGGCCCGCAACCCAGGCATGTGCCCTGGCTGAGAATCAAACCAGCGACCCTTTGGTTCACAGGCCGGCGCTGAATCCACTAAGCCACTCCAACCAGGGCTCTCTTTTCGTGATGAGTCTGGTTAAAGATTTGTTGAATTTGTTTATCTTTTCAAAGAACCAGCTCCTGGATTTATTGATCCTTTGAATTGTTCTTTTAGTCTCTACATCATTTAATTCTTCTCTGATCTTGGTTATTTCCTTCCTTCTACTCACTCTGGACTTTGTTTGTTGTTGTTTCTCTATTTTTTGTAAATGTAGAATTAAGCCATTTATTTGAAATGTTTCTATCTTTTTTTAGGTAGGCCTGTATTGCTATGAACTTCCCCCTCTGAACTGCCTTTGCTGTGTCTCATAGGTTCTGGGCTGTTGTGTGTTCATTTTCATTTCTTCCTAGAAACTTCCTGATTTCTTCCTTGATCTCATTTATCCATTCATTTTTAATATCATGTTATACAGTCTCCATGTACTTGAATGTTTTTTGATTTTTTTCCTTGAGATTGGTTTCTAGTTTCAAGCCATTGTGATCAGAGAAAATGCTTGAAATATATAACTTCAATTTTTTTGAATTTTGTTGAGGCTTGTTTTGTGTCCTATCATGTTGTCTATCTTTGAAAATGTTCCATGTGCATTTGAAAAGAATGTATATTTTGCCTCTTTGGGAAGAAAGATTCTGTATATATCGGTTAAGTCATTTGATGTGGAGTGTCGTTCAGTGCTACTGTATCCTTGTTGATTGTTTCGAAGATCTATCCATTGTTGACAATGATTGTTAAAATCCCCTACTGTAAGTGTGTTGCTGTCTATATCTTTCTTGAAATCCTCCAGGGTTTTCCTTATATTTTTGGGTGCATATATGTTTACAAGGGTTATATCTTTTTGATGGATTATTCCCTTAAATATTATGAAGCATCCTTCTCTGTCTCTTTTTATCGCCTTTTTTTTAATCCATTTAAGTATTGCTACCCCAGCTTTTTATTCCTATCCATTTGCTTGGAATACTTTTCTTCAACCCTTCGTTTTCATCTGTGTAGATCTTTTGTTCTGAGGTGGGTCTCTTATAGGCAGCATACTTGCAGGTCATATTTCCTTATCCATTCAGTTACTGTGTGTCTTTTGATTGGAGCCTTTAATCCTTTTACATTTAATGTTATTATTGACAAATACATATTCATTTTCCCCCTTCGTACCTGTGTTCCTCTCTCTCTCTCACTCTTCATCCTTTTAAAGCAGTCCCTTTATCATATCTTGCATTGCTGGTTTGATGGAGGTGTTTTATTTTACCTTCCTTCTTTATGGGAAACTCCTTATTTTGCCCTCCATTTTAAACGACAGCTTTGCTGATTAAAGTAGTCTCGATCAAAAGCTTTTGTTTTTCATTCCTTGGAATATTTCTTGTCATTCTTTTCTGGCTTGTACTGGTTTTGTTCAGAAATCAGCGTCTAGCCTTAATGGAGTTCCCATGTATGTTACTACCTGTTTTTCCCTTGTTACCTTTAAGATTATTTCTTTGTCTTTAATATTTGGCATTTTAATTATGATGTTTCTGGGAGTAGGTCTCTTAGGGTTTATCTTGATTGGGACACTCTGTGCTTCCTAAACTTGCATGGCTTTTCCCATCTCAACATTAAGGAAGTTTTCTGTCATTTTTTCAAACCAGTTTTTTTATCCTTTGCTCCTTTTCTTCTCCTGCTGATATTCCTATGGTGTGAATGTTGTGTTTCATGTTGTCCTGAAGTTCCCTTCCAGGGGTATCCAACCCACTGCCCATGGACCACATGCGACCCCAAATGGCTATGAATTTGGCCCAACACAAAATCATAAATTTACTTAAAACCTTTTTATTTTGCTCCTCAGTTTTCATTAGTGTTTGTATATTTAATGTGTGGCACAAGCCAACTTTTCTTCCAGTGTTGCCCAAAGATGCCAAAAGGTTGGACACCCCTCTAAAACTACACTCGTACCTTTTGAGTCTTCTTTCATTTTGTTGCCCTACCCGGGTATTTCTTTCTACCTTGACTTCTAGCTCACTAATTTTGTCTTCTGCTTCATCCAACCTGTTTGTATTTTTAAAAATTGAATGGAAGTCATTTGTAGCTCATTCCAAGTTACTCATTTTATAAATATATCTCAGTAGAAACATAAATTATCCTTGTGCAACTTTGAAATTCCATGTTGGAAATACTTCCTTAGTATAGGAGTTCCACTCTGGTGGTACACCTGTTGAACAGATTTTACTTTGTTTCTGGCTTCTAAGGTTATTTAGATATTAGGGATTAAGTGCACCTTAATTTATGGTTCATACTGTTTGTACAAAGGAGAACATCTTTAATTATAATTGTGAGAGACATTTGTAGTGCACATCACTGCAGTTCTTTTTATCCTGAAAGTCTTTTCTGTTTTATTTTTTGAAATTTCAGGTTTTTGAGGTATAACTGACAAAAAAATTATGGCATGATACATGAATTTGCACGTCATCCTTTCACAGTGGTCATGCTAATCTTTTCTATATCATTCCAGTTTTAGTATACATGCTGTTGAAGTAAGCACTCCTTGCATTTGTTCTTTAAGAGAAACATTAGGTGGGTGTCCTTTATCCTTCAAGTTGTGTGCCAGGTGTTTGGGCAGATTATATTGGGGACCTTTTTGGGAGCACCTTTGACTGAAACCAGTACACTAGATTAAAATGTCCTCTGTAGTTAATCACCTTCATCTTTCCCTGCACATAATCTTTGAGGGTATCCCAGACTCATATTTTTATCCCGGGTCTCATTAAATATTTATTTTTAGGCTTTCAAATGGTCTTTTCTGTCGTTTGTAAGCTAAAATTCATCTTGCCATGGAAGGTGCTAAAGATAGGAGGTAAAACAAAATGAAGACCTACCATAGGTGTCTTGGAGGTTCCTAGTGCTCCTAAACTTATGAAAAGCCCTGAGATGGTTCATAGTCAAGAAATCTGCTTCATTATATTTAACTCAGAATTTTCCAAATATAGCCAACCAAGAGATGCTTCATTTTTTTTTTTTTTTTGTTTCATACCTATCAACATCCTTTGGAGTTAGTGTTCTGTAGGAGCAATGACCTTTAAGAAAGTCTGGGTTACTTGTATTAGTCCACTTCATATGAGTGAGCAAAGGCTGGTCCTGGCATTCTTGAACTTCATAGGAATCAGATTGACCAGCCATTTCTGAGCAAGAAGAATATAAGCAGTTAATTGCAACTTCACACTTCCTAGGATAACTGGCTATGAATGTTTGCACTGAGGCTCTAGCATATTTGAGGTAGTAAAAACTCCTGGGATATATCTATTAGGTTCACAGAATGGCTTTATAGGTATAGCACTTTCTTTGCTGCAGAGAAGATGGAAAACAACTCCAGTTACCCTATACTGACAATGAGATTTATTGACACATCGTCTGCTCTTAGATGCTACTGCACAGGGATGACATTCATCAGAGAGCTTTCTTTTCTCCCTCTTCATTGAATATCTTTGAGAGGATAGACTTTCACAACTGAGTTTATGTTGTTGGAGAGGAGGTGCTGAGATCAGCATCATACCTGTGGCAAACAAAGAAGCTGTCTTCCTTCCAAGGAAGATGGAAGGCTGTGTTGCTTCAGGGAAGAGTTAAAGAGTTTCAAAATACATAATTTAATTTTTTCTTTTGAAATAACCATCTGTTGAGCCATTTGGACCACAGATAAAATTCAATTCCCTGTTTATGAGAACCCATCTTTTTCCGTTGTGGAAAAATGAGTTTGCCGATGGTTTTACAAATTTAGTTTTCTTTAAAGAAACACTGTAAAATAATTTTCCCATTCTCTAAACTTTTGAAATCCTTGGCATCTAGTTTCAGTGAGTTTTCTTTTCAATGAATATAATTAAAATTCTATTTAATACATAATTTTAAAGTATCAGCATCTGTTTATGTTACATATTAGGTAAATCTAATGTGAACAGTGTCTTACCAAACATATATCTTAAGAGCCAGGGAAGGCTTGTAAGTAAAAAACTTGAAAGTGTAACATAAGCTTCTTACTTAGTTGTGGTGTAAATTGGTCATTTTGTAAAATGAATTGAGAGAGTGATTAGAATAACCTTCAGTTTCTATAAATTCTATTATAATATGCCAAAAAGTTTTACCCTTACTTTGGAGGAGGAGTTTTTAAAGTGTTATGCAGCTCTATAGAATCCAAGTCAAGGGTTAGCTATTACTAAGCTTTTGTAAGGAGTGAAGTAGTAACTCTGTAGGACGTTAAATACCATAGACATTTTAGGGAAGGAGGCATACTAAATGGATATGAGAGTAAAATGAGGTTAATCTTGAGTCAACTCTAATTTTACACAATCATTTGCAAATTCCAGTGCTTTAACCAATATTAAAGCATGGTTACTTTATTTATTCCCTTACTCACTCATTTAATAACCATTTTGGGGGCAAAGTGAGGATGGAAGATCCAGGAGAGATATGTAGGCAAGAAAGAGCTTCTTGATTAGCCACTTAGTTTAGTAGCAGGATGGACCTTGGCAGCCTGGAGTGTATTCCAGAAGCTCATGCCTGTAGCCTTGACCTTTTCTTTTCCACACCACTGTCACAGAATGCTTATGTGTAGTTCTTCCCTTTAATCCTTTTTTTAAACAGATAAACTATCAATTACATGTTTGAGTTTCTTGTTTTTTATATTGTTAAATTCTTAGGTTGATTCTTTAGAGATGAATCAATATTGGAATTCGGTGACTAAATGATAAAAAAGGGAGAGGTAATAAGCAGGGTAGAGAAAGAGAGTATCCATTGACTGAGCTTGGAATAGAGGCAATGCACAGTCATCTCTGTTGTTTCTGCACAGTACCAATGAGTAGCTGAAATACAGATAGGAAAATTTTTCTGTATAGATATCTGACTCTAGGAGACTTCAGAGACAGTATTTACAACAATGTGTTCTTGGGTCTTGAGTGAGTCTCAGAGTGTTAGACTTCATTTGATGCCTTGGCCAACTTGGATCATGACAGTAATAAATACCCGAAGGGAATCTGGGAGAGCTATTAGGTGGGAGAGAGGTGTAGCAGGGGCTTGGAATCCAACATCTCCAGCCCCTGGAGAGAAGAGAGTTGGGAAGAAGTCTGTGGAATGCACCTCAAGATTCTTACTGCCTTCAAAGCCCCAGGGCTGCTGCTCTTCAGCCTTGATGATGTCTAGAGTCTCAAAGTATTACTGGACTGTCACTCTGTTATAGAGCAGAGATTCTTAAATGCTCAAATCTTGTGTGTTGCAAATTGCTGTCAAGGGACTGGACTTTCACAAGGATAAAAACCAAACTTCCTTATGTTTTTCTATGAAGGACATTGATATATTTAGACAGTTTGTCAGCATATTTATAATTTTTGGTGAATTTCAAGGACATAATCAGTTGTAGAAAGGTTATTGGATGTAGAAGTGACTGTTATAGAACTCAAATTGTCAACGGGCTGGGGAACCAGAATTGGGAGAAACATGAAGTGTTTGTGTGTATTCCTAGTCAGCTAGAAGGTCACACATGGAGAATGGAAGTCAGGGTCGGGGGAGGGTAGGTGGGAGATGACACCTGACATTAGCAGATGGGCAAGAGTTTTGAAAGAATACCAATGCTAAGTCATGGAGAGAACATTAATGAGAGAATGCTCAGGTAACTGCCACTGATTCTCAGGGCACCCTTGGGAAAGTTAGCTAACCTCTCTGAATTCTATTTTCCTCATATGTAAAATGGGAAAGATAATAATAGAGGCTTGGAATTGCTTAATTAATGTCACCTAATGCCATTACTGTGTTTAATTTTTTGAACTATCTTTCATCTTACGATCATAAAGCTAAATTCAGTAAATGTGCTTGAGTCTGTGCCCCATCCCAAGAGAGGTTTATTGTTTAAATATAAAAATAATGTAATAATGAGAATGTTTTCCTATCCAGGAAATAAATATTCATTCATTCATTCATTCATTCATTCATTTATTGCTGTTCGAGTACAGTTGTCTCCTTTTTCCCTCCACCACTCCCCCCTCCCTGCCCATCTCCATCCCCCACCCTCAGATCTGCCCCCCCCTTGGCTTTGTCCATGTGTCCTTTATCCATGTTCCTTGATGACCCCTCCCCTTCTTTCCCATGTTATTCCCCTCGTTGCTCCCCTCTGGTTACTGTCAATTTATTCTTTATTTCAATGTCTCTGGTTATATTTTGCTAGTTTGTTTTTTTGTTGATTAGGTTCCACTTATAAGTGAGATCATATTCAGGAAACTCTTAAAGAGGCCTGAAGACAGTTCCTAACAAGTCCCACTCTAGTTTCTTTGTGATCTCAAAGAGGAAGGATAGCATCATACTCTTGATAATTAAATTGAAAAGTGTGCAGTATTTTTCAGTTCTACATGTCTTTTGGAATTCAGACTGTTTTAACTTGCTGAAATCCCTTTTAAGTGAGGGGTTATAATTACTGGTTTTTATTTATTGACTGTGAATTTCATGAGGGCAGAGCCTATGTCAGCCTCATCCTTGGATTTCCATGTTTGGAATTGCCAAGCCCAGCACATAGTAGGCACTCCGTGAATGCACTGGAAATAAATAAATGCAGTTCTTTAGCTTTTCAAGTTATGGTGCTTTCATATATCCTAGTCCTAAAAGAATTCAGACTAAATCTAGGGGAAATCAAAAGAAGATATCAAAGAGAGTATGAGCCCTGGCTGGTGTGGCTCAGTGGATTGAGTGCGAGACTGTGAACCAAAGGGTCACCAATTCCATTCCCAGTCTAGGGCATATGCCTGGGTTGCAGGCCAGGTCCCCAGTAGGGGGTGCACGAGAGGCAACCATTCATTGATGTTTCCCTCTGTTCCTCCCTCCCCTCTCTAAAAATAAAGAAATGAAATCTTTTTTTTAAAAAAATAAAAGATTATGGTACCAATCTACTGATGCTTCCTTTTAGTTCTCAACTAGGTTTTTTTTTTAATGTCAATTAGGAGAATATTATAAATTTAATACATTAATAGAAAATAAAGAGTGATATACAGTGGCGTAACTAGAAATAGAAGGACTTTGTGAGCAATAGTTTTAAGGATACAAACTGTCAGTTATAGGATGAATAAGTTCTGGAGATTTAATATTCAGCAGTGTGACTATAGTTAATCTTACTGTATTGTATACTTAAAATTTTCTGAGAGAGTAGATCTTAAGTGTTCTCACTACAAAAAAAGATAATTATGTGAGGTGATGGATGTGTTAATTAGGTTGATTGTAGTAATCATTTCATAATGTACATGTATGTCAAATCATGTTGTACATCTTAAATATGTATAATTTTATTTGATAATTATACCTCAATAAACCTGGAAAAAATAGAATTCCCCTCCAAATGTTATAGTAGAGCACTCTCACTTCCAAGTAAGGGCTGGCCCAAGTAATAGAGATTGAAGTAAACAGTCAGAAAAGGATAATGCCAGACAGGATATCTAAAGACAAACAGAAGTATTGTCCCCATCATTCTTTCATTATTAAAGCTTCTTTTCTCTATCTCAGGTTAAGGCTTCTATG